TTTATTATTTTGAAATCTCATGGTTTTTAGGAAATCTCATAATTTTTTTTTGGGGGGGGGGGGTTAACTCATGGTTTTTGAATGCTTGTGGTTCCGATACTAAAAACAATCTCTCCCCCCCACCCACTCCCCCGAGTCTAATTAACTTTAGTTTCACAGTATCTCCTGTGTGAGCTTTATGGAGCTTGTATCTGACTGGCGTGTACTTCATTAGACTCTTAAAAACCAGCATAGAAAATTTAGGAACTCTGCAAGATTCCCAATGTATACACATAAAGCCTTTTTAATTACTAACAGTTACACCTCCAACTCTCCCTGCAATTAGTCTGAGGCACTAGTCCTCACTGTCGTCAAACTGTGAAGTTTCTATCTCAATCTGTTGGGTTTTTTTAAAAATACATGATGAACAAAAAAAGTTAAGAAAATGTGAACCCTAATTTTGTTTAACCCTCATAGCTCTAAAATAATTTGTCCAATTTGTCTGAAGCTTTCCAGAAAAGTTCTACCTTGGCAATAAAATCAGGATGTAAAATTTCAGATGGATTTATTTATTCACAGAGAACTTGTGAGAAGGATCAATGGGGCGGAGGGATAGCAAATTTGTCCTTGTTATGGAAAGCCAGTTTAATCCTCAACTCTCCATAATTGTATGGGGGAGGTGGGCGTTGTTTGTTTTGGACCAAGCAAAGCAACAGTATGATTTACATGACACAGAGTGACCAAAATAAAAGTTTCTGTAATCAAAGTCCAGAGCTCAGACTTCTGTCCTTCAGACAGAAAACACAGTCCATACTTGTTCTTTGATATGTTACTATAAGTTAATAGTTAGGGCCACAATCCTCCACTAGAATCTACTAATGTGGCTCTTTAACCTTTTATCCTCATTGAAAAAAAACGGAACTCCAAGAGGGCACCTAGTGGATCCTGAAGCAGGACTGAAACCTAGGTTTGCAACAACCCTTTTCTGAACAAGCAGAAAACAAACAGGGGGTGGGGGACAGGAACCCAGTCTTTGACAATTATCTACATTTTTTTCAGTTTATGTGCATTTTGGAGCTGTTGAGAAGCCAACATCTATTCTGTTCAAACTTTCAGAGAGCAACTGAGCCTAATAAAGCCAGCAGGAGTAAGATCGCAATATTTTTCATTATTGATGCAGCTGGTTTATTATTGTCAACAAAGAAAACTTACTAATAATACTCTGCACTAACAAAGCCCCTTTCATCTTTGGATTTCAAATGACTTCATGACAATAAGAAAAGGAGTACTTGTGGCACCTTAGAGACTAACAGATTTATTTGAGCATAAGCTGTAGCTCATGAAAGCGTATGCTCAAATAAATTTGTCAGTCTCTAAGGTGCCGCAAGTACTCCTTTTCTTTTTGCGAATACAGACTAACATGGCTGGGTGTTGTGAGACTTAAATAACTCACTTGGGTCGTGAGGTAACTATTGTTATCCCAATTCTGTGCAGGGGTAAACTGAAGCACAGAGATGTTAAGTGGCTTGCCAGTTGTTCAGGTCACACAGTGAGTAAATGGCAATCCCTGAATAGAACCCAAGAATCCCAACTAACAGTCGTCTCTTCCTACCAATAGAAAATAATGTGTGAAACAATAATGTTATAGATGTCAATCAATTGTTGCTTTATATCGTCATTTTCTAGTCTGTCTTTCAGACTTGTCAGTCTACTGTACTGCCAGAAACTGTAAACACTATACAAACAGTGTACGGTGCTGAGATATAAAATGCTTACAGCACATTTCAGGATAGCATAGAATTTTCTTGCATTTCAGTCATAAATCAATGGGTCAGGGACATGATAGCTAAAATAAAGAGACTGAAGGAGTCTATGTACTCTTGTAATACTGTGATTGTACTTTGGAAATCTGTGCTCATTAGCACAGTAAACAATGAATCAACCAAATCTGTCAAACAGAAGTCTGTATTTTCTGAGGCACTCTACCTGACATACTTCTAAGTGCAAAGAATAGCCGGACAAGTAGTCAATTTGTAACCAAAATGAAAGCAAAGTGTTGCCATGAGACATTGGGCCTCATCATGCTCCCACTGAAGTCTATAGAAGTTTGGGAATTGATGATCAGTGGGATCAGGACTACCCTAATTTCACACCACATTTCAGCCTGATGTGTATTTTCATGAGTGAGTTAGAAACTCCTGGAAGATGAAATTTGGAAAGAAAATACTGGCAAGTCCTTAACTATAGTAGTAATTGCTGACATTGCTATAATGACTCACAAAATATCTGATACAATAATAAATCTGTTAAACACATTCATTTATTCTGTTTTCCATCAAGACTATGTACTCATATAGAGACGGTTATAAGAGGTTCAATATGTATCATGATTACAGCACATTCCGGTCAAGCAAACTAGCATCAAAACAAATATTTTTATGAAACATCATTCAGTACAGAAACATTCAGCATTTATCAATTATTTTCTACCTTGATCAGATAATGTTTATACCAGGAGATTATTGATGGGTCCAGAGATTACTGGGTCCAAATTTTACCAATTTTAAATTAAATAGATACTATGCCACTTAAAATATGTTGTTTTCTAGCAAAATGCTTCCATATAGTACAGCTGTATTTGTAACACAGTTAAAAGTAAAACAGCTAAAAGACCATCAAAGTTGCTTTTGCAGCAATCACAGGTCATTAAAATCTTATTTTATACAGTGGGTCTGGAGGTTTTTTTAATACATAATTTAAAAAAAAAATTTTTTCTCTAAACTCCTATGGCTCTCTAACCTCTTAAAATGTGATTCACTTTTCAACCTATGCTAAAATTTTGAGTACTTCTGAAGTGGACGCGGAAGAAAGCTGGAGGGTAGGATTGCCCCAAGTTCAAGGGTTCTCAAACTGGGGGTCGTGACCCCTCAGAGGGTCGCGAGGTTATTACATGGAGGGTCATGAGCTGTCAGCCTCCACCCCTAAATGCTTCTTCATCTCCAGCATTTATAATAGTGTTAAATATTAAAAAATGTGTTTTTAATTTATAAGGAGGGGGTCACACTCAGAGACTTGCTGTGTGAAAGGGGTCACCAATACAAAAGTTTGAGAACCACTGCCCAAGTGTCTTTCAGCCAAATCCAAGTCAAAGTTTCATATAATTCAGAACATAGCATAAAGGACATATAAAACGAATCCCAGACAGCCTTTATGCTGGTCCATAAACATTATGGGTAGTTTTATTAAAGTGTCCATAACCGTTTCCATAAAATTCTAGTGCTCTGAGTTGTGATCTGTTCCAGGCTTTAGCAAGTTCCTGTTAAATGTGTAAAAGTTAAGCAGAAAGACATTTTTGTAAGGAGACTAAAAATCAGCTGTGCCAGGTACCTGAAACTTTGTTAGGGTGGTCAGTGAAAAAATTATAAATAACTATAGACTATTTTAAGTGACCTTACACTGGTTACTTCCTATAACTTTTTTTGATTTATCCTATTTAACTTTTTAAATTTTAGTATAGAGGAAGGCAACTGCAAAAATACTGATATGACTAATTAAAAGAGGAAATGTATCTTCTTATTTAAAAAAAATACTGAAATAATTACTGTCAAATTAATTCTGTACTTGGAAACATAAGGTTCCTGTTAACTTTTTCTTTTCTGCCCAACACCTGTATTCTCTACCTAATGGAAAATGTTATCCCCCATTCTAAAGGGAAGGTGTTTAAAAGCACAATAATAAACATAGTACCAAAAATTACTATTTAACAATATTTTACTGTACTGCAACTCTATTTAAGGAGAGCTCTGAAAACATTTAAATTACTCAGCTCCTTGCAGATTGTGTTAAATTCCCCATTTCGGGGAACTGTGCACACTTCTCCTTTTGGACAGGATCTTGCCCATTTTGTTGGTAAGTATGGGAGTACGTAGCCATCATACTTATATTTCCAGGTAGGAACAGTAAACTCCCCACCACCATCACTCCGTATTTGACAAGTACACAGAGAGAAAAAAAACAGAGATCGCTTCCAGGTGATTAGGGGTTACTATCAAACATATTAACCATGGGAAAAAAAGAGGTAGCATGAAAATAATAAACAAATGCATGTCCTCCGCTGCATTTCCTTCAAGGACGTGTGCTATTGCAGACAAGAGCATAGAGTTGCAAACCACAGTTAGCGGTATACAGAGCGAGAGCTCTCCCATGTGACCGAAAAAAAGATTATTTTGAACATTTTCATTTCAAGTAAGTAAATAAATAAAGACCAAAGCTCCGGAAGTTTCACCTTTTTTAATGTAGGTCAGATAACAGGCGATGGTGGTTGTAGTGGGGACTAACTCAATGCTGTGTTAATTGTCAGGGAGGATCATTTTATGTATGCGCTGTTGGCTGTGTTGCTGGTTGGTTTCGAAAGTTGCCACAGACCCTATTGTGAAAACAAGCCGGCAGCAGAACCTACAGCTGGACTAAAGCGCGGAGTGTTTGCTACATTGTGGTTTGGGTCCCTAAGACCTCAGTCGAGGCACATGTGCTTTCGGATCATTTACCTAGGTACACGCAGGTTTTTTCATGGGAAAGGGGGGTACAGCGTAAGGGGAAGGCCAAAGATTTGTTTTATGGTGCTGAAAATGCTCCCAGAATTGTATGCGAAAAAGCCGCAAAAAGGCACCATAAGCGGAGCCCCCCTCCCATCACCCCAAACCACACCGACACTTAGCGCAGCTACCACCCCACCCACAGCGCTTACTTTGTACAAGAAGGTGGAAGTGGCACGTCGAAGTAAATTAGAGGGAGAGTTTTGATAGGTTGTTATCTGCTCTGGGAGGCGTTCACACTTTTTTACTATTGGGTATGTAAATTGTTTTTAATAAGATCTGCCTTTTTTTAAAGGGCGAAAACAATCCAGACTCTCTTTACCTTAATAGTCTGAAGGGTTTTTTTTTTCTAGCTTTCATTTATTCAAGGAAATGTTTTAGGCTTTAGATTGACAGGATCTTAGCAAAAAAACCCTTGGCACCAAATGATAAAGTATTATTTATTTATTTATTTATTTATTTATTTGGCAAACAAGATAGTCCGGGCTTTTTTCAAAACAAACAAAAAATGTGTTCATGGAAAAAACCCGGAGAGAAGTACAGATCGGAGACAGTCTTGTCATTCCCTCTAGTCCTGTCCCCGGGTGGGGGAGATCGCCGGAAAGCAAAGCTCCTTCTCCTGTGGGGGATGCACATTGTTTTATTTATTTTGAAGGCTGCCGAAGTATGAGGACTGGGTTGAGACACCACGTGCTGCTGACTCTCATCAGCATAACGATCGCCTTAGCCAGAGTCCTGTATATATAAACCACAAAAACCTAATCATTAGAAATCCCAGCCTCCAAAAACCACATTTAGGACCAAAAAAAAAAGTTAAAAAAAATAAAAACCAACGGAGGCATTTTTTTTCGGCTCCTTCATCCTCCCCGACTCAACTTTTGGGACTCAAAAGAAAGTTTTTTAAAACCAGTTTTTCAGAAAAAAAAATTAATTACCTTTTTGGTTTTTGGTTTTTTGCTGTTGTTAATCAAGGGAAGAAAAAAAAAGATTTTTGTTAGTCTATTCGACTCAACGGACTTGAACCCCGCCGCCACTTAATTAAAAGGGACCGGAGTGCACCCAAGCTCCCTTTTGCAACAAGTTACTTAAGCGCATTTTAGAAAACAGCCTGACAATTGTTTGTGTCTATTCTCCCCTCTTATTTTTCCGGGAATCAGAAGTCTGAACATTTTAAAAAAAGCCCTGTTCCTCTTTACGCAGCCTCCTAATGTTTCTCTTTTAATTATTAGTATTTTGACTACGGTTTGTTGTTGTTGTTGTTTTTTTTTCTGGCTAAAAACGCAGGAACTTTCTTGTTTGGGCTGAAGTAGCTTTGGGGGAAGGGAAACAGCTTTGCAGAGACACTCTTCAAAACTTTTTAACCCCCACCCCCCACCCCAGTCCCCTCTCCCTCCTGAAGCAATAACTAATAATCGGAAAAGCTGAGAAGTCACTTGGCATCTAAACTTTCTCCGATCAAGATTTTTTTGTGGAGGGGGGAGACTTCCTTGGAGGAAAACGGGACATTCCCCTTAGCACCCCCACTCAGTAGTTGAAACCTAGCCTCCTCTTCTCGCTGCTGCTTCTCCTGCAAACAGCAGCAACCCAGGAAGCTGAAATCAGCAGCTGCTTTACCTCTCCCAGGCAACCTTTAAAAATCCAAAAGGAGAAGAGAAGAGACAAAAGGAAAGACAGAGAAGAAGGCAATCCCGAGCACTTGAGGGAAGACGCGGTGGCTGGAAGGAGGGAAGGAAAAAAGAGCAAGAGAGACTGAACAAGAAGGAAGGAAGCAGGAGAAGCTCTTTTTGCAGCACCCGGGACCATGCAGTTTCCAGCTGGGCTTTGCTAAGAGGGGGACAGCCCTAGGATCCCACCGCCAGACACTGTGTCCCCCATTCCTCCAGGCTGCAGACTCGCCCCCAAATCAGCCACATCACCTCCCCCCCCCGTTTTTTTAGCTGTGATTTTTTCCCCTCCTGCATTTAACCCGCTCCTGCTCTTTCCTCCCGTCTTCTCCCCTCCACTTCTCCATTCACCCCTTTTTTTAACCCCCCCACTACACGCCTCCTCGAGTGACCCCCCCACCGCCCCCTCAGCTCGCTAACTTGTGGCTGTTGTGATGCGTATTCCCGTAGATCCCAGCACCAGCCGGAGGTTCAGCCCCCCCTCCAGCAGCCTGCAGCCCGGCAAGATGAGCGAAGTGAGCCCGGTAGTGGCAGCCCAGCAGCAGCAGCAAGAGGCGGCGGCGGCCGTGCCCAGGCTGCGCCCCCACGATAACCGCACCATGGTGGAGATCATCGCCGATCACCCCGCCGAGCTGGTCCGGACCGACAGCCCGAACTTCCTGTGCTCCGTGCTGCCCTCGCACTGGCGCTGCAACAAGACCCTCCCGGTGGCATTCAAGGTAAGACACCCCCCCGGCCGCCGCTACGCTCGGTGTGCCCGGCAGCCTCCCCGCCGCTTCTCCGCCAGCGACCGGAGCCAGGCTAGCCTCCCGCTCCCCACCTTCTCCAGTGAACACTTATACAACCCCCGCAGCAAGGGCAGTGTGTCCTCTCTCTGCCCCCTTTAACACCCATGTGCCCCCCCATGACTATGCACCCCTTAGGGGTCCCTCCCGAACAACCGTGCCCCCGAGGCACTAGGGGAGTGGGCACCCTATCCTGTCATTCCTCTGGTCACTGCATAGACCCCTGACCCGAAGGGCCACCTCCCTTCTCACAGCCCCCCACCCCGCTAGCAGTACACCCCTAGCCACAAGGAAAAGGAACCCTTTATTCTCATTTCACAACCACACCCGCCCTCACCACAAGGCAGTGCAGCAACTAACTACCCACCACCTATAACGACCGGGCACCCCCAACCACAGGGGCAATGCACAGGCTGACGCCTCCCATTAGCAAGCGCATACTCTCAACCACCATAGGAATCATCTAACTACGCTCCATTCATACCCACGTCTCCTAACCACCAACAATGCCTCCCTATTAGCGCCCCCCACAACAGTCATCCACTCCTTAGCACCCAATGAACCCGCTTCTCCACTGACATCCCAGACACCCCAACACTACCAGGGCAAGGGAGCTAACGCCTCACTCCATCATACACTGCCAACCAGAAGAACAATGCACCCCGTAACCACATGAGCCGTGTAACCTCTAAGTAACAGAAAGACTGGATGCAGAATATCTTTCCAGTAGGTGGGGGGATTTGCCCATCTCCAGAGCAATGTATAGGGTCATAAGAAAGGGGAGAGGAGAAAGGGTGGCTTTTAGCTTCCTCCAAATGTTCCCTCTCCTCTGTTTCAGCACCAAAGGTCTGCCCCCTTCCTTTCACAATGTCTAAAGGCATTTTAATTGATGTATTAATGGGTACGAAGCAGGGTTTGATGGTGTTGTGTGTGCGTGCCCTACTGTTGATTTAGGAAGGACACCAGGAGAAGGACCCACGTTCCTGATGGAACTTTTTCCCCCTTTTTCACTTGGGTGTGTCTCTCTAGGTGTCAGGTTGAACTTACTTTTTGCGAAGTGACAAGCTATTTGTATTTCATTATGTGAGGAGATAGGGGGAGGTGTTGCTGCCTCCCGGAGTTACACTATTTTACAGCCGCTTCTGGATCCTCCCAAGCTAGGCGTAGAAAAATTATCCAGGTTTTAAAACTGGGATCTACAAAGGGGCTAAGAGTGGGGAGAGGGGACAGAGCTCTTGCCCTCCCAATGGGAGATGGTACCCCTTCACTTCTCCTGCTGGACAAGTTAGGAAGTGTCTGTCCAGAAGACGCTCATTTTGACAGGGGACAGTGCATAAGTTATCAGAAACATCATACGCTATCTAAATAATAAATACTACCCAGATCTAAATCGGGAATGTTGTTTTTTGTTTTCAGTCGACATCCACACACTCTGCTAATGTTAAGAAAGGATTATTTGGTGGTTGTTTGTGTGCTTGCTTTTAAGCAAGCCTTTACCCTCCCACCAAACTTTCTGCTGCAGATTTCTTTCAGTTCCTTCAGTGGTGAAATGAGTAGTAACTGGGCTGTCCCAAAGCACCTGTGCCTGTCCATCAGCACCTGAGTCAGTCCAAAACCCAGCACCGGAATTAACAGATCTAAACTTTGCAAATGTGGATGTTACTGCCTGTGTAAAATCGAAACCCCTCCAACCTCCTGCTATTGCAGCATCCATGACAAAATGTAGTTACCCTGCCTGAAAATCATTGAAAAGCAGAAGAGTTTGAAATCAGTATTTTTCTGGAACAAAGTATAACTATCTAAGAGTGCTGTAGTTCCTGACTGATAGAGATGTAATCATTACTAAGGGGGGATATATTTGTAAGTGAAAAATCAAGAGCATCAGTAAAGGAAACTGATGTTAAAATAAGTGTATGAAAAGCGGACATGGAGACTGAATGGCTTGCTTTAATATCAGACAGAGAAACAGACTACATTTGTCTGAAGCTCACATATATGACAGGGAAAGGTTGTGTAAGAACCTGGTCTGCCTTAGAGTTAAATGATTAGTAGTCTTTGTGGGCCCCACTTGTTAAAGATTGCAGAGAACAGGCTATACAAACCATTAGAAACATCTTCTCTTTCTGTAACTTTGCCAAGCATTAAAGGGCCATGGCAAATATCAGGTGTAGATCACTTCTCCTTAGCAAGTCTTATTCAGAGGGAACTGGTGGTTGGGGGGAAGGAGGAGGAGATTTCAGACAACTTTTATTGTAATTTTGATCATTGTTAGATTAGATGAGTATTAAAGTTATAGTTCACAGAAGTAAACATTACACATTGCAGTTATATCTGTCTCTGGCTTCTTTTGAAATGTCAGGTATCACCTTCTACTGTTTCTTATTTACTTACCTTTAAAGGATACTATCACATCTGCTGGATTAAAAAGTTTAGGAGAAAAATATGAACCAAATATGACACAAGATATGGTTACAAAAAATCGTATTTAAACCAGATAAAAGGAAAGATGTCTTAGAGCATTTCCCAATTCCTCTCTGTCTATATATATTTATGCACACACTAGCTAAATTGGACAAATTATTCAGTATGCATAATATTCAAATACTACAGTAATAAAGGCCATACATGTACCTATTGACAGACCCGCATAGATTTATCCAGTTTATTGAGGTGTCAGGGATATTAAATTGACCTCAAGCAGTTCTTTGACCACTTACACCACCACTCAGCTATAAAGCATGTGTACATTTACATACATCTGTATTTTTACACAAAGAATATATATGCATGCATTATATATACATTCTGTATATATTACCTTTATTTACTAATGAAAAACTGTACTGTAAATCCTAATTACATTTACTTAATAATTATCTTGAACACATATTTTATCAGTTTTCTTTTCACTATATAAATTAAAATGGTATGTAACTCTGCACAATTTCAAGATGAAATAATCCAAATGCATATATAACAAAAAATAAAATATCACTATAACTTAATGTAACACAGTAGCAGTTATCTTTAACCTATATATATATATATACACAGATCTGGGATGTACAGTAACTAGCTCACATACAGCATGCTTTTTAAAAATTGGCAACTGAAGTTTTATTGGCAATAAATAATATGTTGATGATAATATTTTGAATGGTGTGTTAAGTATATCATAATTCTGTTATAGGATTCTCTAGTTAAAAAGTGCTTTGGACATACCACTGTTTTAATTTAAAAAAACAGATATAAATCAACTGTAGGAAAGGAAGTATGTTATAAACAGTGCTAGTTTTGATTATAATTTTTTAAAATCATGTTGGCTAATAAGACACTTGAATTGGAGTATTAATATTTACATGAGCTGTGAAGGGAGTTCTTGTTTAATATACTGAGTAGTAAGACTAAGTTAGTGCAAACTATTTTTACAGTGAAGAATGTTAACAATGCACTTATTTAACATAGCTTTGTAGCTGCTTAATAATATTCAGGTGGCTAAGATATAAAGGAAATTGGGACAATGGGACTGCGGCCAAATCATGTTCACGTTATTCACAAGTAGTTCCATAGTAGTCAATGGGACTACTTACTTGAGTAGGGATAACAGGATTTGTCCCTCAGCTGACAATTCTTTCGGGAGCATCTTACTGAAATGCACAAAGACAGAGTTATTACATCAGGCTTGTATGTTCTTTGTTGTCCTGCAAGATGCTGATAGTAGCAAAAAGCATTAGTTGACATAAGATAATAACAATCAAGAAAAAAGTCAATGTACAGTATTCAAGCTATATCCAGTAGCACCAGTAGTTAAGGGTCTGTCAGCGTTTTCACTCTAACCCCCAGTTTTCAGAGTTTATAACTCAGCTGTTTTAAATAGCTTCAAGCTGAACTTGGTGTATAAATTGTCAGTCCAGATGTATTTTTTTAAACAAAAAGTAGTGCAAATCAGTTATTCTGTTTTAAGTTATAGACCATTACAATATTTTTAATAGCTTCAGATGCTCTTTTGGCAAACTCTAGGCAAGAAAAGACATTATTTGTAATATAGGAGGTTTTACATTCTGGGACTCCTTTATGCGAATAATGCCTTTTATTTTTGCAAGCAAAGGTATTGAAATGATAGAGATAATAGTGTTTGAAAACAGCTAATAGCATGTTCACAAGCTCTTTCTGGAAACAATCTTTTTACTATGTAAAGAGTCTTACTACATAATATTATTGTGTAGTATTTTTGCTTCATATTTATAACGTCAGTCTTCAGTCTACATACCTTGGCCATTTCAAATCCCATGGGACTGAAACTGGGCAAACAGGTTGCCAGACCAGACATGAATTGTTATTCGAAAAAGTACATGCATTGATAAAGTCATTTTCAAATTCTAAGATTTGTGTTTTGTGGCTCCATGTGCCTTTTTGCTGAGACCTAGCTAAAAAAAACCCCAAATGCTTAATTTTTAGCCATCAGAATTTATAGGTATTTTAGTATGGATTGGTGCCTTTTGGAAAATAAATATTTTTAAATGGCTGAGATATTAATCTTTGAAAAATAGCTAAACAGCCCACAGAGTAGTTACTCTTAGTTATTTATGTTTAATGATTAGTACTACTGCCCTTTTTTTTTTTGCAATGCATTATAATCCTTGATTTTCTGTCTAAGATATTTTAAATCATTTTAGGTTGATACGTGGTATAAAAACTGCCAACTCAAGTTCACTTCTT